GAAATGTTTCAGGACAAAACAGAAAATACATACACAAGAGGAAAAATATGACAAGAATCACAGTGCATGAGCTAAGCTATGAAGATTTTCTCATCATTCCCTACACCTGTATTCCAGTTCTAGTTTTCCTTAAAACCAGCTCATCCTCTCTTAGCTGCTGTTTGCTGAACCCCTCAAATGGCCAAGATGAACTGGGAACTCTTTTTTTTGTTGCCAGCTGAGTGTTACAGCTCAGCCCTCAGCATGCCTTCACTGTGTGTTCAGTTTTTCTCCTCCCAAACAAAGAGATGCATAAAAACATGAAGTAGTTGCTCATCTATTCATCAAAGAATAATTAATAAGGCTGTTGAAGTAAAGCTTAATTCTCTGCTTTGGGGGAGAGCAAGCGTTAGGACCTGGAAATCAGGAGGGGAACAGAGAGAGCAGCCATGAGACAGATCCCCTTCAGGAATGGTCTGGCCCCTCAAAAACCCCAAATCCTGCAGCAGGAGCTCACCTGGGTGGGAACAAGCACGGGAGGATAGGCCAGCTTGTGGTGTCTGTACATCCAGAAGGAGAAGAGCACGATCACTGCAATCCCCATGATAGGCACCAAGGAGTAGAGCAAGGTGTTGAACAGAGGTGGCTTCGGTGTGACAGGATTGGAAGTTGCTGAAGGGAAAAGAAAAAAAGACAAAGCTTTTAAAGGAACAAAAGCAGGCAGTGTTTGAAATGTGCAGCAGCCTGGTTTTCTAACAGCTGCTGCCAGCACCTGATTAGGCAGCACAGAGTAACACCTGGTGAGAAGGCAGAAGGGACAGCTCAGATCCTGGTGCAATTCTGGGCTTCCAACCCCCAGCAGGCTACAGGGGGTGCTTGGACTCCCAGGGACTGCAGGAATTCATCACCTAATGAACTAAAACCAATCAAGGCAGAGATTTGGCAACAGCCTCCAGCCCTGCTGTGCCTGCTGCAGGGAGGAGCTCTCCAGGTGAAGAATTTCCACAGGAGCTCAGGACCCAAGGCAGCCACAGCCCCCAGGGCAAGAGCAATGTCAATTATTGCCTCAGCAGCACCACTGACAGAAATGACAACAATATCTCCTGGGTCAACAAAGGCTATTTTCATCCTGCAGAAAATGTTCTTTCATTTCATAAACAACTTCCTCTGGCTATTTGGTACACGAGGCATTTGCTGGTTTCAGCTCAGTTATTAACATCCCTTGGTTTTCCAGCAGATTCCTGACTGGAAGAAGATGGGCAAGAAAAATCAAATCACCTTTTAGCTGTTGTTTTTTAAAATAATTATTTATTAAGTCTGGCTGATTTGATTGTCCTTCAGAAATACAGATTATGCTGAGTGGAAGAACCCACAAGGATCCTGTGATCTGGGAAGAAATTCTTTTCCCCTTTTTAGAGGTTACTGTGTCCATTTACAGAGAAATTCAAAAGTCCA